AGGAAGCCACGACCACGTGTCACGGCAGGGAAAATGGCCGTGGATCCTGTTCGTCACCCGATCCGGCGGTCGCGAACCGAAGCACAATTTTGCAAACGGTGCTGTTCATGACCCGAATTGGTCGTGAACAGAAGCGTTCGTGACCCGAGGTACCACTGTATATCATTTCTGTCATCTATGTGATGACATAATGATGCATGTAATATTGTTTTGATATATTGTGGCTTCTCCTGGATGTCTGAAATTCACTATATTGTTCAATACACAAGAACCCTCTTTCATGTACATACACAGCTTAGGTCAATCAATTATTTTAACCTAAGGCCACATGCTGCATTTCTTATTACTTTCACCAAGCAAAGACATGAATCCCTGTACAACAGCCCTTGTACGCATGCCAGGTCTATAATACACATCTGAATCACCATGGGAGCAGGGACCACGTTACTACTATTTAGTTGGAATAATTCTAACATCGAGTTTTTGTTGCAGGGGTATCTGAGTATCTGGAAAAAAATCAAGTAAATAGATAAGCAAGGACATGATAGCAAATAGAGCTTTAAGCATGGGAGGGTTGATATTCCAAAGCAATGGTCAGAGTCAGCTGAAGCTAGGAGTCTGTCATAGCGCTGCTTTCGCTAAAAGTCACAGACTCTGTCATGTAACAAGGCCTTGGGCTTTGATTCATGTAAACACCCAGTAGAAAAACTGTAACTCAGAATTCCGTTCTCCAGGACCAAAGCTTATCCAATTCATTTGCCAAAATGGCTCTAATAAATAGCTGAGAGAATAATAACAACCGCATTATTTAACAAAAGAAAGTGCTACCTGAAAGTTGCTTCCAGCCGCATGGTGGTTTAGCTGGAAGCAACGACATGACAGAAGGGAAAACAGATTGTTTATTACCCAGAGTTTTGGGCACTGATGCAACAGGATGCCCTTGTTTTTCATGGACAGGTCATTCACCTATCAATGGTGTTGAAACTTATCACCAGATATGAAGGAAATGGAATACGGGAAATAACACATTTCTAGAGCAAAGGGAGAGAACAGAACCAGCTATCAGATTTAGACAAGAAGTGAGATTGCAAAACCACTTAAAATCTTCTCCCTTCTTTTTTGGAGGGTGGGAAACTCTGCATTTCAGTTCCTGTATTATACACATGAAAGATCTTTTGTTTCATTGCTGGACCAGCTTTCAACTGCAAATGCACTGATTAGAAGTTACTGCAGAGCTAAGACACAGACAAACAGCAGCTCATTAGACTGCTGTTATTCCTAAACAGTTCCATGCCATTAATATATTTCCGATAAAAATACCTTTTGAAAAAAAATGTTATGTTAATGGAGTATTCACTCAATCTCCTGTCAGTATAATCAGATTGTTAAAGGTTAAAAATCACAAATGGATAAGAATAACATGAGGCAGAAACAAGCCATAAATTCCTGGAAAGGAAAATTATAAAAGATTATGAAAGAACAGCAGAATTCATATAAAGGCTACAAAAATTACAATAGCAAATATGTAGATTTAAGTATGAAACTCTGATCTAAGTAGAGGAGACAGAAATAGACATGACTTTGATAACAGCAATTCAACTTGAGCATGTTTCTACCAATTTCAAATATGTGCTTTTTATAATTGGACATGTGGAAAAAGAAAAGACAGCAAAAAATATTAAGCATAGCATTTCTTGGTTCTCAGTTCAATAATGAAAGAGGAGGGCAGGCAAACAAAAGAGAGTGAGAACTCCCAACTGCAAGTAAAAAATATTTTATTTAGCCCAAAGGGTTTCAGAAAGTGTATCCCTTTTTCAAGAGCATTTATGGAAAGTTTCTGAACAACTGGACTGCTGTGCAAAACTAACGCTGTCAATAGCAAGGATATTATTTATGAACAATTAAGAAAAAGGCAAAAGTGTTCACCATGTAGCTGAAAAATGACGATATCCCCACTCTGTGGAGAAGTGAATACTATACTCACTTATAACATGTAATGCATGTGACAAATCATTCAAGACCACTGGAATGATGAACATATCCCATCAACTTTTGCTTAAAATTAACACATATTTGATTGATTAAAGCAGATCAAACTAAGTTTTCTAGTATCATTCCATGAAATTACATACATAAATTGTGGCATGAGGACATCACATAGCTGTAGTTACTTTGTGGAATTATATAACTAATGTTTCACACAAAAACAATTTTGATTCAGATTTGTCAGATACAACAAATGCACAGGTGAGGAAAAATGTACAAATACATTAAAACATGTATAAAGCATAGACCAGATGCTAAAACTAGGTACAAAAATTCTAATTCAGTGACTTTTCCATGCTAAAAAAATGAATGTGAGGAGTAAGTGTAAAGACTGGAAAAAGACCACCTTTGAAATTGGTGTTCAGAAGCAAGTAGTCATTCACCCCTTGGAAACAAATGTCTGTATATAATTTAGAAACTAAATATACAAACTAAATAGAAGTATGCCTTATTAGTCTTCATTTGATGCCTCAGCATTCAGAGGCAAGTTGTAGATTCTCTGCTCCAGCATGTACAGAATGCTCTAATTCTCTTCTCACACCTAAGCGGTCCCACTTGGGTTTAAGCATGTGGATCAACAGCTGTTCTCTACTTATAGCTGTATCATGATGGGAAGTAAGGGATCAATACTGGTTAATAATGGCTTTCAACATCTATAGCTCCTTATGGTATTTTAAGCTTTCAGGTCAAACTCTGATATAGTGTTACATTTCTACCTAAATAAGCTTGGCTTATTTAGCAAAGGGACAGCAATTTGTTATGAGATATTTAAAGTGTCACTAACATTTCTAATCTTACTGTAATACTTTTGGATACCCCACAGTTTCCATTTGATTTCCCTAAAACAGAGATAACAGAGTTACATCTTCCCACAAAATGAAGTAAATTACTGTGTTAGTCTATATATAAATCCTTGATCTTGCAATAATAATTAGGCTGAAAAACTTTCTAATAGTAAGAGCAGTTCAGCAGTGGAATAAATTACCCAGAGAGGTGCTTAGTTCCCTTTCACAGGAAGTGTTCAAGCAAAGGCTGGACAGCCATCAGTCTGGGATATTTTAATTTGTATTTCTACAATGAACAGGGGGTGGTCTTAATGACCTAAATGGACCCTGCCACCTCTATGATTCCATTAATTCACACATTACACTGTGTGAATACATATTGATTAACCTAATAACCCACATAAGCTGAGAAGGAAAATAAAGCTGAGAAGGAAAAACTGTCATAACTCTTTTTTTCTTAGCTACTACTCTGGATGGATGGATGGAGGATGGATGGACAGAAATACAGCAGTGTTTTTTTTCCTAGTTGATTGGCAACCCTCTTTTTATATAGTCTAGTTTTGCTTATTTAGAAGTCTGTCTTATCACAATACCTAATTTATGAGCATCCACTGTATTATAATTTGAATATTAACTAAGCCCATTTCAAAAGTTGCATAATCTTAGTTCAGACTCCTTTAAGAAATATTTAGTAAATTGAACCATTCTTTTTGGATTTTAATTTCTGCAAATTATAGTCATTTCCCTTTGTTTAAACTGAAAACTCTTTAGTGAAAACTCTTATTATATTTAAACTGAATTTCCATTAGAAATGATTAGGTCCTGTCTAGTTCAATGTGATTGTAACCACTAGTACTATAAATTTTGTAAATCATTTTTTGAAAACAGTAACATTTCACAACTATTGTACTTTGTCTGGTTCCATGCAAGGCAAGGATATGTCACTTAGGGTAGGGTTAATATTCTTGATTTTTTAAAAATCAATGTAGTACCCCCCCCACCTTTTTTTTTTTTTGGTCTACACATCCTGAAATTTTCTGGGGGTAGATGCTATAGCCATATGATAGATAAATTGCAGAAAACCCAGCATCTCATCAGGTGGATATGGGTACTAATCTATTCAGACTGAAAAATAAATTACAAACAAATGTACATGTTATTCCTTAAATGGGAATCTTTTGTCTCCGATGCAATGACGCCACTGTAAGGAACAACTTTTTTTATATAGATTGGAATTTTCAACAGGTTAAATTATGTAAACTAAAAAGAACTGCTTGGCTGGAAAAGGACTTTATAGTCCTTGGGAGCTACAGGATTTTGCAGGTACTCTTTGAAAGATACTGCAGAGAAATGTCCTTTTCAGAATACTGAAAACTTTCAGAAATCCTGCAAAGTCTTTACACTTTGATGTAAATACTATTTCTCTATACAATATTGCACTCTAGGCAGGAGTACGCCCACATGGGAGCTTCCAATGATTCTGGTTCAGTGTGTTCGTAGTAACTTATAAAGTATTATCAAAGGAAAAGATCAGTACTGTGCAAGCCATAGTATTCCCTGTGACACTCTATGGAAGTGAAAGTTGGATTTTAAAGAAGCAGGGTAGGAAGAGTATTGATGCCTTTGAACTTTGGTGTTGGAGAAGACTCTTGATAACACAGTGGACAGCCAAGAAAACAAGCCAATGGATCACTGAACAAATCAACCCAGAGTTCCCACTCAAGGCACAAATGACCAGGCTCAAATTATCCTACTTCACACACATTATGCAAAGACCCAGCTCTCTGGAAAAGGCTCTAATGCTGGGAAAGGTGGAAGGAAAGAGAAGAGGATGATCAACAACAAGGTGGCTGGACTCAGTTATAGTGGTGATGAGTGCACCACTGGGAGACTTGAAAGAACAGTTTAGGGATAGATCATCATGGAGAAGATCTATCTATGTGGTCACTAGGAGTCAAAAACAATTTGATAGCACATAATTATCAAAGGAAAGGAACTATGACAACTTTTAAGTCTGTCTACTGCCATTAGTCCTTTCATCCCATATGTAATTCAAAATTCCAGTTATCTTAACAGAGAAGCAGTATACTTATTGAGAGTATGGAAATTATGATGCATGAGGGCATGCAAGATTCTCCCCACCTTCTACAACTTGTAGATATATTCAAGGACCTTTTGCATTTCCTATGCCAAGAATGCAAATACACACAAATGGAAGTCATACAGGTTAGAATGTTGGGTTCTGTTGAATACAGCTCAATTCCTTGTCACTACATGACAAATACTCCCCATCTACAATGTACAATAAGCTTGGAAACCCTTTTTCTATCTTGCATTAACATTCATCCATGAGCATAACTATTATCCAGAGTCACACATGTACTAAACCACAGTATGGTTTGGGCTTACTCTATTGTGGGAACCTGGCCACTATGGTTTGTAAACCATTGTTTGGCTTAGTGTTACAAGTGAATCCAGTGAAATGCAATTTACTCAGCAAACCATGCTTAAGCAAACCATGCAATATTATACTGTATGGGGCTAAGCACTGAGATGAAAAGTGCTTTGAATACTACCAAAGAAGGTCTGGGAATACTATGAAGAGGCTCAGAGAAGGAAGATTGCTCTTGCCATGGCTTTGGCTCCAGGGCCAGGACCACTACCCGGACTTAGGCCACACTGGGGCAGGAGACCTTAAAGAGACTTATCAAGAGGACTCTTGCCTACTCCCAGTTATACAGCCAAAGGCAGGGAGTACTGGAGAGGGGTAAGAAAGCCTTTCCCCGGACTTTATTTTCGGCCATTCCTCACACCTCTTCTACTCCAGGGCGTCGTCGATGGGACTGACCAGTGTCCGAAGCGCCCAGCCGGTCGCCCCCTCCCCATGTCTCTAGCAGCACTCTCCCACTTTTTCTCTCAGACTGAACAAAAAAGCTTAAGCTCTCCTGAATCAAACCCGTTTGTGAAAGGGAAACAGGATCGGGCGAGGCGCCTTTGCCTGTGCTGGAGGGGCACCCCTTTGTGCCCAGAAGCGAGGCCATCTTTACCCTTTCAGCAGCTCTCTGGCTTCTCCTCGTCTCTCGCTTGCCCCTGTGGCGGTTAAAACTTTGGAGTTTCCCCCCGCTTTTGCCGGCAAGAAAGTGGCGGGCACTAAGCAGCTCCCGCTTCTCTCTCTGCATTCCCCTCCGTCCATCTTGAATACTTGAGATTCTTGAATGGAGCCTGTGGGATCCGCTCTGCGCGGCTCCGATTGGCTGTCCATTAACCCTTTGGAGGGGGCTTTCGCCCGCTCATTGGTCGCGGCGTTTCCTCTCGACCACTCCTTCCCCCTCCCGCCCCCAATTTTAGCGCCTCCGCCGCAAACTCATCTCCGTGGTGGTACAAGCGTTCCTTCTCTTATGTGGCAGGTTGTTCCTTCATATTTCGGTAAATTATTGGAGAAGGTAGCGTAGGACGAATTGACGCGAAGGAGATCCGTGACAATCGCAAGACCCCAGCCTGTTCTTGTGGCTTACCTCCTCTGCACACAAACACATCTTGAATGCAGCCTCCGACACAGGAATAGGACTCTGAGTGTTTGCATTTGTATCCCGCCTTAGGAAACAGACCTGTAAAGCAAGCGTGTGAGGACCACTATACATTTAAATTTACAGAAGAGTCTCTAGTCACGACCTCTGCTCCATGCTTTCATTTCCAGAAAATAAGTTGTATTAATCTTTTGAAGACAATTGTGGTGAGTTATTAGATTTATATCCTACCTTTCCTTCAGGCATTCAAGGTAGTTTACAAAGCCCTCCTTCCTACTACTTTTTGTTAAAACAACCCTGTGAGGTAAGTTGGGCTGTGAGAGAATAAGTGGCCCAAAGTCACCCACTGAGCTTCTGTGTCTGAGGATGGACTAGCCCCTGGGTCTCCCCAGTTTTAGTCCAACATCTTAACCACTACCCCTCACTTGCGTTCTCTTTATTACAGTATAGCATAAGCTGTTGTGGACTACAGTCCAGTTCATCAAATGCATTAAGATGGCAGTTGGCAAGTATTGTATATATACATAGGTGTAGAGGGACAATATTGTGGCCACTGAAATGAGATTAGAAGGAAAGGAAATATACAGAATAAAAACCTTGGCAATCTTAATTTGATATATAATTTTCAATGCCTATTCACAAGAGCTGTTAATAATATGAATTTCTGATACTGATAAACTAATTAGCACATGTAGTGGGCATAAAACTCATTATTTTGATTTAGACCATAGATAATAGAATTGCACTTCATGATTAATTGGAATTCAAAACTTCACATTGGAAATCCATCTGTTCAAGAATAGACAAGAGGAAACAGCTCCTGTCAAGTGAAACAGCAAAGGCTATTCTTGGTTTTTCTCTGAGGAGAACTCAGTGTTGTGTAAACTAAACTGAGAAACTGAAAAAATGTCCTAGAATAAGACAGTGATGAACCACTTCTGTACTGCTACCTCCCCAAATCCTACATGGATGTATCTGTGGAGTCCCCAGGAACTGACTTTGATTTGCTAGAGCCTTTACTAGTTGAAGTCATATGCCAGCAAAATAATGCTTAAAATAATCCAACACAGATTAGAGCCCTATTAATGCCAGATAATCATAAAGAAGGTGCCAGATGTTTCTTGCAATTGTCAGGCACGGATACAGTCTTTACACACACATTAAATAAGTCTCGTCATTCTGGAAACAATCTACACCTATATTTTAACAATTTTTGAATTATACCATTTATATTTGCAGTGGGTAGAACAACCAGCCTTAGAATTGGCAATGAAGATATTCAAGTGGTAGACAGCTTCTGCCTTTTAGGATCAATTATCAACAGTAAAGGAACAAGCAGTCAAAAAGTTTGCCACAGACTAGTACTTGGTACAGGAGCCACGAAGGTCTTGGAAAAGATATTCAGATGCCGTGATGTGTCCACACTTACAAAGATCAGAAGAGTGCAGGCAATGATATTCCCCATGACACTTTACAGAAGCGAGCTGGACACTGAAGAAGCAGGACAGAAAGAGTATTGATACTTTTGAAATTTGGTATTGGGGAAAACTTGTCCTCAGCTATGACATATAGCTTACCCACCCTTCGGGGCACCTGTTATTCTCCTTTTCCTTGAGGAAGAAAGCCCAACAGAAACTTTAAAGCTAGAAGATATCCTAATCTTCTGGTATAACTCCCTTTCCGTCAATCTGCTTTCACCTCTGCAGAAGAAAACTTCTATCTTTTCTTCAGTAGCAAGCTGAAAAGTAGCTACATGGGTAATTTTAACTGAAAAAAATATGTAAGGGAAAGCACACACAGAGAGACCATGTTGATATTTCAGTTCAAACTGCAGGGCCAGCAATTATGTGGTGTTCAAGAAAACAAAGGATCTGTCTAATGAATAGGAGTACTCCAGGTATTGTATAGCTCAACCCTTGGGCATTCTCCTCAAATAATGACCTCAACTGACCACAAACTACAGGAACCAACTTGTAGGCAAAATGCTATTGAGAACCAGGATTTTGTATGAAATCGTAACAAATTTCCTCAGAAAACCCAGCATGTCAACAAACCAGTTGGGACACATTGTATTTACATCTAAGTAATAGAGTATTGCCTCATAAAACAAACTATTAGCAAACCAGATGGAACACTTTGTATTTACAGTATTCAAACTAAAGACACCTTGGTGGCACTCTGGATCACCCATGTATGAGGCAAATTTCTGTATTTTCATTTGTCCATAATCAATCACCAGCATCTTGATCAGTGATCTCTGTTGATTTGCATTTACTGTACTATGGAGATACTTCTTGTTTATTGGAGGAAAGGGTTTTTTCCCCCCTTCTTTTCCACTGGAAAGTTACTTCAGTCTTTGCTAAAGCCAGGACTGATGGGAGAATACTAGACCAAGAGTGAGTATATGTATGATGTTTAATTTCCTGCAACTCAAGGTCCACACCAGACTTTGCTTTGGTATGTTGAAGGCTGCACCTTGAAAGTGAGTGGGGACAGGACCAATTCTGGGTGAGGTTTCAGAAGATTTAAGGGATGAGATTGGTGTTTTTAAAGTTTGCAAGATTTAAGGCACCATTTTGCCCCTTAACCCCCCTTAAAACCTACCAAACTTAAAAAAAAAAAAAATCCACATTTTTGGCCCCAGCCAGCCTTTTGGAAGACTCTAGGATTTCTGGAGCCAAATTAGGAAGAATAAACATTTTGTTGTTATTTGAAACTCTTGCCAATCTATAGGAAACCATTCAGAAATCTACAAAAAGTTCAAATCAACTCTAGGAAATATGTGAGAGTGGCTATGTTCAGGTAATACTTATTAGTGATCAGTTTACCTGTGGTTCACTCAATTCAGTTTTCTGGGTTCATATAATACACTGCATGCACAATTATTAGGCAAGTGAGTATTTTGACCATATCATCCTGTGGGATCAAAACACAGGACACAGATGCAGAATAATCAAGGCTTCACTGCAGTGTTTATTGAGCAGTACGTACTAGAGGGGGACCCCACCAGAAGTTAGTGGGAGGCACTCCCCTACAGGCGAAATGGATGCTCTGATATTTATTCAGTTCTACAAGAAGGGGAAGGGAAAAAGAACGTATACGCATACGCATACGTATTCATATGATGATGCAGCCATGCCTAAATAAGCAATAGGTCCCAAGTTACTCTCTGCCCCTCTGTTATCTGCTA